ATGGCTGCACCATCTGGCAAAGATGTTTCTGGCAATGTGAAGAATTCTGGGATTTATTTATTCCCCGAACAGAGAGAGGCTTTGATGTTTAGGGTGTCGTAGGTCTACATTTGATTAAGGCAGAGATGATCCAAGGGCCAGGAAGAATTTGTTGCCAATGCAATTCTCCAACAGTTTACAGGGTTAAGGGTGTTAACAACAAAAGAAACACATTTTTGGCTTTCCTGGCCGAGTCTATGGGACTATGAAGCTTGTTTGTAAATACCCTGGCAGAGGTGGGAGAAAAAACAATGTGGGAATTAATCTGGTTATGGAATGTATTGTTAACTCCATTGCAGTCGGATCTTGAGATTAAGATTTTCTTGATCTTCTTTGATGGTGCAAGTTTTGAAAAGCAGTAGTAGTTGGCCAAACCAATTACATCCCAAAGACTGATCTCTTACATTTGTCTGACACTATCGTAATGCTATGATGAAGTTTGAGGAAAGAAAGATACGCTTCAATGTTGTTGGAGTATTTCCAGTGTCAATGTTTTTCCAAGAAAATATGATTTTAGTTTTTCTATTTCAGAATTTAATGTTTAGTTCAATGTTACATGACATTCCTTGTAATTGCTTGTGAAATTTACTAGCAGTTTTAAAGTGCACTGGCTGTACTGCAGTGTACATTGTAAATTATAACCTGCTTCAGAATAATATTTCAAATGTCACAAGCAGTGAGAATACGTCCAATCAGATGGCTGGAAAGCTTCTAATTTCTCAAGTTCATTATGTATGGCGTAGCTCAGTGTGTGTTTGAAACCTGCTATCCATAATTCATCATACTAATGTTTTATTAACTGCACCCAGTACATCTTTACTTCGGTCTGGCCAGAATATCCACTTAACTTTTATAGCGCTACAAGATTACAGAACCCGTATTACAAAAGTTTAATGAGTCTCAGTTTCGGTGAGAAAGCTCTTGTGGCTTTAAACAAATCCAGCAACATTTGGAGGGAAGCTTCCTCTCGTTTCGCACAGTAATCTGCCCCTAGTAATTGCCCTTTAAGCATTTGAGAGGGTTTTAATTGAAAAGTGCTGAGAATGTGAGAATATGGCATATTTAGCAGTAGTTTCAATTTTGTTAAGACTGTGCGGCGCTATGGCTCCACAGAATTGATAATTGCATTGTTTCGACTCATTAACTGGCTTATTAAAATGGGAAATGTAATATAGGGGTTGAGTTTTTTTGTGCAGCAAGCATCATTAGACTGTAGGCACATGTGTGGCATAACAGCGGCACAGCAGAGCCCATGGGTTATGATGTCTGTGCTGCAGTTAATGGCCTGAAGAATTGACCAGAAAGGGTAATAATTGTTATAGTACAATGACAGAGTAATATAAATTACAGCATTAATCTAGTGTTTGTGCATGTTTCTGCAGGTTAATTTGTATCTTCATCTATCTTGTATTTGTTTTCCCATTTATCTTTATTGCACATCTGACCCTATAAATGTGTGCTTGCCAAGGAGGTTTGCATTCCCATTCATCTTAATGGCAGTTGGTGCATGATCACCACAATGGAATTCTGCCGTCTTTTAGAAGTTGTTTTTTTATCCAGTCATCTGAACCATGAATGCCATGTGAATAATCGCACAGATAATGTCCTCTAATCAGTTAGTCTGCTTAAGATTAATGTATACTTTGACTTTTACTCATACAATAGGGTATGCATGCAGTGTGCATGACAAAAATTCCGTAATCTGCACAGTACAAGCAGCTGCACACTTTTTTTTTTGCACTAATTAATTTGTCATATATTCTGGAGAGAAAAAGTGCAGACACTGGACAAGGATGAATCTTTCTAGTGCACATTTGTCAAGCACCTGTGTTCGCCCAGGCTATCATACTATGAAAGGTTGTGAGTTCGACTGTGCAAAAAAAAATGTATGTGAAATTTGGGCTTTAAATTCTGCCCCATTATTACAGTTGACGGATCTGCCTCCGTCCAATCAACAAACGATGGACTGAAGCCAGAAAAAAATATCTGTTGCTAACTACATTCAATTATGAGTAGCTTGTATCTTAGAAAGCCATAGTTTCATAGTCCCAAAAATCCAAAATGTCCCAGTGTTGGGATATTTCACTATAATCTCAAAAGTATGTACTTTCTCAACACTGTCAAAATACATAATTTTAATGCTTTAATGCTTAAATCAAAGTATGTCTTTGATTATATAAGAAAACATTCTAGTTTTGTTGCATCATATTGTGTTGCCATCCTGCAGTGTAGATGCTATGTTTTTTTTTGTTTATTTGTATGTCTCTTTATTGTAAATTCATATAAACATATTACCACAACGTACTGAGAATTTCAGAGACAGATTTTGCGTCATCTTCAAATTGGTCATGCAAATTTGCAGCGACAACCAACAGAAATCTACAGAGCCTCACACACAGAGCCTCACACATGACATGCAGTAAAAATAGATATTGTGGCTATTAATTCAGAATTACTTCCAATTAATTCATGGCCCTGAAACAAGGGAATCAAGTAGTACAACATGGGCACCTTATTTGCCTAAAACAAGGGGATGAAATAATAAGATCTTGGCCACAATATCTTGTTTTTTCCCACGTCGTGCAGCGCTTCATAGAAAGCTTCTTGGTTTGAAAGTGACTTCTGTATGAGTGCTTCATTTATCACTCCAGTATTGACAATTTTTTGCCTGCAACATTCCACCAAAATTTCATGGACTGCACTAATTTTGCACACTGAACACTTCAGATTCTCCTTTTAGCACACTGCTAAATTAAATAAGAGCTAGATAATTAGTTAAACTAATTTCTTAGCCATTTGTGAGTTCTGTTCATCTCAGACCAAGCATTCATGACTCCTCCTGCCATTCATCTTTCCCACTCACTCAGATCCATAATCAAGGTCCGGTACACATAATGAATGGAGCGAATTTCAGTGTGTCACCCACAATGCATTGCTGGAGTGATGCGCCTTAAAGCTGTAATTCCTTAAGGCCACGTTATTTGCATGATGTCATAAATCCGAATCCGCTGCTAATGCAGCGATTAATCTATTGTAACATTAAGGGGGACGTTTGCAACCTTTTCCTCTGATTTGCGGGTTCATTTTTTAATATGTGCGCATGCTGACTTTGACAGAGCAAGGACTGCTCTCATCCCCTGCATGCAGACAAGTCAGTTGTGTTGACGCTGAAGCATGTCTGAAGGCATTAGAAAATCCAAGGCTAAATAAAGAGCCGAGCTAGAAAATGCTTGTTCTCTTTGAGCTCTCATTGGCTCCTTTGATAATTTATCTCACTGAAAGTGAGCCCATGTCAGTTCTTTTAACAGACTATCAAAAGAGCTTATGTTGTTTTTGTTAATTCTACTTCTTTAATCTTCTCTGATGAGTTTCTCAAGCAGGGTCTTCCCTTTAGTTTTATCTGTAGTCTGAAGAGATAATGAAAATGAACATAATGTCTTTATTCTCAAAGGAATAGTTTAACCAAAAATAATAATCTGTCTTTTATTGTACTCACCTTCTGAAATAGTTATGTAATCAAAATTGTGCACTTCTGTCTTCTCTGGGTTTGCAGGTGGATTTCGCCTTCATCGTTTGGCAAAGTTTTCCAGATCGGATCGTAGGCTACCCAGCACGCAGCCATTACTGGGACAGCGGGAAGGGAAGGTGGGGTTATACCTCTAAATGGACCAATGAATACTCCATGGTGCTCACAGGAGCTGCGTTCTACCACAGGTAATCTCCAGACAACACAAAACTGACCTGAAGAGCATTATTTTGTTTTTCTTTTGCTGCATTTTTTCTATTCTATTCTACCTATTTTTCTTTCTTTTTTTTTTCTTCAACAAAACATTGCCGGCTAACAATTAGCATGTGCTAACAGTAAGCATTAAATTCTATGCCTAGCCATGGTGTGGCAGAATATCTGTAGTGCTTAATTGTTATAGATTGATTTTTAATTAAATACAAAGTTCTGTCATGAAACTCTAGATGGTGCAGGCTGAATTTGAAGGACAGGGTAAATTTAACTTATTTTGTCTTTTGGGAAACATGTAACTATCTCCTGTAGCAGTACTAAATGAAAAAAAAAAGTGGATCATTAAGGTAAGAACACAGTATTACGAATCATACTGAATGTATTTTTATAAATTCAACTATTATTTTCTATTGTGGACAATATGTAAACATCTGTTATGTGAAATATCTTATTCAGGTCATTACTAAATAAACAATAACATGCATTTTGTATGATCCCTCTTATTTTGGTAACATTTTTCAGATTCTGAAAGGGGGTGTAAACTTTTGACCTTAACTATAATCACATCATTATTCATATGGCATAGCTGATTGCTTTCTTTACACATCAGCAGCCTATGAGCTTGCTGCTCAACATTCAAATACTCGGCTAGTGCTTGTTGTAGCAGCTGCAGCATGCTTCAGAGACCCTCCACCTCCCCCAGCTCCACCTGTATAGATCTGCTGCGGGATGATTTCATGTATGTTATATATGGGGGTTGTTTCATATATGTTATATGTGCACCTGCAGCTGCAGTATTTCCTACATGCTTACAACAGCATGCCTGTGGATGTATTGACAGATGTTAATTCAAATAGTACAATCGCAGTAAGGTGCCTTTCCACTATCTCCGACATTCACATAGGTTTGTTGCATTTCACCTTTTAATGGCAGTCACACAGAACTTAAATTAGTCCTGAAGCCTTCCTCTTATTCATGAAAAAATTTATGAATAATTAATGTATGAATATATCAACACAAAACAAATGACTGCCAATATTTCTGAAAGAAAAGCATAGAAGGTTTTGTAGGGCTGAGCAACGTAAATAGTTACGCAATGAATTATAAAATAATTATTTTATACTTAATTATTCATAACTGCCCATTTTGCAGAATTGTGCAGAAGTAGTGTTTAAAGAATATCCTTTTAGTGCACAAATACTGATAATTATCACCTCATGCTCAGCACACCCAAAGCTTAAATTGGATTTGAAAATTCTGCATATTCATATGGTCGGAATTCCATGCAGTTCCCATAAAACTCTCCATGAATGATTTCCAGTCTGTCATTTGTTGGAGACAGTGGAAAGGCAGTTAAAACTCTACTGTTGTCATTTCACGAAACTCACAATAATTACATAATTTTTCTTAAACAAAAATAGTAATAATGTGTAGTTTTAATGAACTTATTAATATACTGTAAATGTAAATATTTTTTTTCACCTTGAGGTTCATGGTTTCCCTAAAAACAGCAAGTGAGGAAAGAATGAAAGAAAGGCAGAAATAAATGTATGAAACTTTTTGCAAAGAACTTTAGTTCTTGTTTCATTTGCTCCAATTGTTTCAGAGACCCAGGAACAGTTGTGGATTAAAGTGTGTCATCTGAAAATATCCGTAGTCAGTTTGCCTCAACTTCAAATGCTATTAATGCTTGCCTTGTGTATGCAAGAAGGGCACATGACTTTTGAGAGGTACGATAAATAATTTTTAGTGAATAATACAACAGGGGATGGAGCTGTCATCTCACATCAACATTTTTTGACTGGAGGAAGTGGATCATGGACTATCGTGGATATTTTGGCCAGACGTGATGGTTAAAATGGCTTTAAATATGGATTTGTTTCTTACAATCACATAGCTTTCAACTTCATTAATTGGTGGACAGGAGTCGTGTCAATTACTCATGGATTATTATGATGTTTGGACTCTCATTCTGACGACACCCATTCACTGCAGAGAATCCATTAGTGAGCAAGATGTAATGCTAAATTTCTAAGAATCTGTTCCAATAAAGAAACAACCTCATATAGTATTTGTGTGAAATATTCTGTTAATTTAAGTCTGTTCTCACAAAAAGCTTGTATTCTCTTACTATATTCCTCTTCCTTTGCAATTGTTATAGCAATCCTCAGTGAGTTATGTCAACCCGATCTCATGAAATTGCGTATAAATAGTACGCCAAATAAAAACGAAAACTCGTGGTATTGATACGCAAAAATGGATTTTGGCGTGTATATGGTATATGGGTAGGTTTAGGGTTGTGGGGTAGATGCGTATCATATGCACGCGAAAACTGCGTAGTATATGCACGCCAAACACATGCGTATCATATGCACGCCAAAGTCCATTTTTGCATATCAATACCACAAGTTTTCGTTTTTATTTGCCGTACTATTTATACGCATTTTCATGAGACCGGGCTCGTTATGTAGAAGAAAAATATCTAAACAGTCAGACATGCCATTAACACGTGCCCCTGAACATGCTACATGTTCACTTGTGAAAAATGTTTTTATAACATTTTTCATATGCAGAGACATGAACCAAAGTCCCTCAAAAAATATCTCAAAAGACTTTTATACAGTACCCTGATTTCCCTGAGGAAAGAAACAACTGATTTGTTTCTGTAGCTTGTTAAATATAACTCTGAAATACAAATGATATATCAAGAATCATCAAGTTCCATATAAAGCTAGACTTAGTAAAATATTTCTCTGAAACCAAGCACATAAATATGTCTCTGTTGTCTCTCTCTAGTGATCTCAATGTGAATTCATCTTTCATCATGAAAATATACAATTGGCTTTGCTACACTCTGGTTACTATTGCATTCATTCCAGCCTTTAGGGTCGCCGGGGTAAAGGTTAGATTTTCCTTATTTAAATGAACTTTTGGTGTAATAAACAATTATTTGTGACAATACTCCCAGTTTCTGCTCATAAAAAAGTTGGTAAACAATAGCTTTGCAGAAATGGCACTGGAAATATATTACCGTATAGTATTGGGCCTTTAAATATTGTGCTGAATAATAAGTCAAAAAGATTGAGAACCACTGTTTTATTCATTTGGAGTCATCCTGCGGGCCCCTTGAATGCTTTCTGAGCCCCCTAGTGGGCCCCTGCCCCCTGGCTGAGAACCACTAGACTACAGTATATGGGATAAATTCTTTTAGCTGAAGAGAATATGTACGCAGAGCTGGGTAGTAATTTATTACATGTAATCTGGATTATATAATCAGATTCCAAAAATTAAGTATTTGTAATGAAATTATATTTCATTTTATTACATGTAATCTGGATTACATAATCAGATTCCAAAAATTAAGTATTTGTAATGAAATTATATTTCATTTTGAAATACTCAGAATCAAATACAGTTACTTTTTTATCGATTACATGATTGCATATTATTCAAACAATTGCAATAAATTATTAATCATTTATTGATTCTCCCTAATTCCTCTTTTTTATCTTTTAAATTTTCCTTTCTAATACTGCTTATATACATTCAGATAGTCTTTCTATTCAGATAGACAAAGAATGCACAATATTAAAATAGACAAATTCACTTTATTTCTTATTTGCATATAATGCAGGCATTCCCAAACCTTTGAACATCTTTCACCTAATATATTTATTTGAAGTACGCTGAGATTTTAAAATAAATATTTCAGTAATTAAATATCACATCTGCATGTTCACGGTTCTGTTACGGGCAGAGAACTCAAAATGGCACTGGAAATATATTACCGTATAGTATTGGGCCTTTAAATATTGTGCTGAATAATAAGTCAAAAAGATTGAGAACCACTGTTTTATTCATTTGGAGTCATCCTGCGGGCCCCTTGAATGCTTTCTGAGCCCCCTAGTGGGCCCCTGCCCCCTGGCTGAGAACCACTAGACTACAGTATATGGGATAAATTCTTTTAGCTGAAGAGAATATGTACGCAGAGCTGGGTAGTAATTTATTACATGTAATCTGGATTACATAATCAGATTCCAAAAATTAAGTATTTGTAATGAAATTATATTTCATTTTGAAATACTCAGAATCAAATACAGTTACTTTTTTATCGATTACATGATTGCATATTATTCAAACAATTGCAATAAATTATTAATCATTTATTGATTCTCCCTAATTCCTCTTTTTTATCTTTTAAATTTTCCTTTCTAATACTGCTTATATACATTCAGATAGTCTTTCTATTCAGATAGACAAAGAATGCACAATATTAAAATAGACAAATTCACTTTATTTCTTATTTGCATATAATGCAGGCATTCCCAAACCTTTGAACATCTTTCACCTAATATATTTATTTGAAGTACGCTGAGATTTTAAAATAAATATTTCAGTAATTAAATATCACATCTGCATGTTCACGGTTCATGTTGTTTAATGGTCACATGACATGCAGGTAAACAAATAAAATATTTTATTTCAGTAAGTGTTTTATTTTGATTGATGTTATTCTAAAATGACTTATTTTAATTTTCAATTTTTATGATTTAATTCATTATTAGCTTTTCATTAAACTTATGAAGCCCCTGCATTTCAATCAGTTTACAAACCACAGTTTGGGAAACCTTGAAGTAATGTAATGTTAATGCATGTTATGAATTACAACGAATGGAATATAGACTCTTTGTATTTTTATATCAACATGGTATGAGATTATCCTATTTAAATCAATGTGATAAACAGCTTAAAAAAAAATATCTAAAATTAATCAAAAAGTAGTCTGATTACATTACCTAAAATGTGTAATGTAGTTGGAATCAGTAATGGGCTACAATTTCTAAGTAATCTACCAAGCTCTGTATGTACATACAGCAAAAGTCTAGAGTATGTTATACCTACATTATAATTCTGTAAAATTGGTTAAATAGTGTTAAATAAATACACTTGTTCAGCTGATAAGTGACAGGTTTTAAACTAGATACTTTAATTAAATACCATAATTAAATATTTAGAAGTCATACAATTTTTATTTCATTAAAATTGTATGACTGATAACCATTATAAAGTCTTGCAAGTTAGTTATGCTACCTCTTTAACCAGCATCCTAGAAATTATATTGCTTGAATTTTTTTAAAGAATGTTTGAAAGAAAAATAGAAAGACATCCAAAACAAAAGAACACAATGGACACCATCCAGCACCCTAGCAACACTCTAAAAACACTCAGAGCACCATAGCAACCACACAGAAACACCCTGAACACCATCCACAACACCCTAACAACAGCACAGCAGGGATTCACAGCTTGTTGAATCTTCAGTCACAGGTTTTTTCCGGCTCTCACAGAATTTGGACAAGAGGCTGGTACGAGGTCAGTGTCAGGTGCTTGTAAAAGCCGAATGTGAGACCTGCTGCGATAGAGATCGCTCAGAGACAGGCTGATATTAAAGCAGCTAATAAATGTTCAGTCTGACAGCTTCACTGGCCATATTTTAACGATAAATGGCACAGGTTAGATGGAGTTCACAGTTTGTTTTAGCTGAAGGTCTGTGAACTCATCACTCAAAACACACACACACACACACAGACCTTCAGACTGACACATCACACACCCGACACACAGATTAACTGCTTTGCTACTGGTCAGCGAGCTGACACACCACCTGCAAAGTGACCCCAGCTTAAAGTGTGCGGGAGAAAAGGACATAAATAAACGTGTGAAGAGAGATAAGCCACCTGCAGTGCTGAGAGGAACGCTCTGATGGCTGTCCCTCAAAGAGAGAGGGAAGGAAAAAGAAATACAGAATAGACGTCTGCAGGCAGGAAAGGAGATTCGGTTTAATAAGGACAGCGAGAGAGAGAGAGAGAGAGAGAGAGAGAGAGTGTAGGTGTCACTCACAGAAATTAAAACATCTGTGTTTTTGAGGTTTTCACAGAAGGGTGGCCTCTCTGTCTGTGCTGGATACCATGACTATACTCTCAGTCCCACCCAGAGGAACATTTTATTACTCGTAGGTTGCTCTTGGAGCTCTCATTTAAGTTGTTTCTCCTAACCAGGGCCGCATTAAGACCTCACTGGGCCCCGGGGCTATGACTTACAGGGCCCCCCCCATCACAATAATGATATATATAGCTTAAAATAGGATTTTTATCCAATCAAAATTTTTGATGCATTGCAATTTCACAATTCTTGTTACCGTTTCCAATATCACAAAATTAACAAAAAATAAAAAATACTAGTAAAAACAAACTTACTGAAGACAAGTAAACAGTCATGAATTACAATAGAACAAAGAAATTGACCTACAAACACTTAAAGCGCTGAATAAGAAATATTATATTGTATAAAATAAATAGACTACAAATAGACTTCACTTTACAATAGACTGAATATTCTTCACTGCATAAATTCAATATACATTATTTCACAAAAGCGATTTGGTCAAGGACAGTGAGTGATTTTCTTTCTAATGTTTAATTTACATTATTGACACAAATAGCAACAGCAGCTATATTAGGCTGCTTTGGAGGAATAGTTCACCCAAAAATTAAAGTTATGTTGTTGTTGTTCTAAACCTGAATGAGTTTCCTTCTGCTGTTGAATGCAAATGTATATATTTGGAACAATAGCCTACTGGTAACCAAACAGTTTCTGTGCCCCCATGACTTCCATAGTATGAAAAAAAAACACTATTGGAGTCAACAGGGACCAGAAACTTTCTGGTGGTTACGGATATTCTTCAAAATATCTTCTTTTATGTTGAGGAGAACAAATCAATTCATACAGGTTCAGAACAACTTGAAACTGAGTAAATGATGACAGTATTTTAATTTTTGGGTGAACTATATCCCTTTAAAATCTCATCATATAATGCCAGGATCTCATAATAGCCAACTAGTGCACATGCTTTATCTTTAACTATTAACGTTCATTTAAGACACAAATGACTGTGTTGACGAGGAGACAGGCATTTTGACACATAACTGTATTCGAACGTTTAAACACAAGGCGCGAAAAATAACTCTTAGTTTAGTCGGGCGCTGTACGAGCAAGTATCAGAAACCGTCTTAACACGTGCATTTGCCAAAATGAATTCTGCCCCACTGCTTAATGTCCCTGAACAGTTCAATTAGTTTTTAAAACAAAATGCTTAAAATGCGTTTAAATGAAGCTTACATCATGATGCGCAAAATGAATTTCTCAACTCATAAGCGAATATACTAGGCCTATAGAGTTTGTTCAAACCCAAATAAACTAGCTGTGGATTTTAGTGACTAACTCATGTTTTCCCCTCTCTGCTCATTTTTTTCTCTCACAATTTTTTTTTTAGAATAGTTTACATTTTTACTTATCGAAGATTGTTCTTTGCATGACCATTTCTAGATTACACCAGAATGAAGTGAAGAGAGGTAAATGCAGACATGGCGCAGCGATCACCTGATTGATAGGCTACGTGCACAGTTTGTTAAAAAGTAATATATATAATAAATGCATTTGATTGGTAAACCAAATTCAAATGTGACATTTTAATCTCTAATGGTAATGCATGGAATTTACGGGAAAAACTCCACTAAGTAATAGTGCTAAAAAGTGAGGGGCGTGGTGGGGCTTTGGCGATCGGCGCTACCGATGTCCGTCAAGCTACTCCACAGCCAATCACGGGCCCCCTCCTTGCTCGGGCCCCGGGGCTTCAGCCCCGCCTAGCCCAATGGTTAATGCGGCCCTGCTCCTAACAGAATAAATTGTTAAAGGGATAGTTCACCCAAAAATTTAATTCTGTAATCATTTACTCACCATCATGTTGTTCCAAACCTGTATGTATTTAAAAGTTTTGGTGGAATGGACTTTCAATGGAGGTACAGAAATCTTCATTTGTGACCCTGGACCACAAAACCAGTCATAATGGTCAATTTTTCAAAATTGAGATTCATACATCATCTGAAAGCTGAATAAATAAGCTTTCCATTGATGTATGGTTTGTTAGGACAATATTTGGCCGAGATACAGCTATTTGAAAATCTGGAATCTGAGGGTGCAAAAAAAAAATCTAAATACTGTAGTGAGAAAATTGCCTTTAAAGTTGTCCAAATGAAGTCCTTAGCATAGTTGTCCAATGCATATTGCTAATCAAAAATTACGTTTTGATATATTTATGTTCAGGAATTTACAAAATATCTTCATGGAACATGATCTTTACTTAATATCCTAATGTTTTTTGGCATAAAAGAAAAATCGATAATTTTGACCCATACAATGTATTTTTGGCTATTGCTACAAATGAAGAGTACATTTGCAAAAACCGATAACTCCATTTTTATTTTTGAAGTGTATTTTTTTTTTCAGAAATTACGTTTTTTTATTGCGCATTCCAAGTAATATCAATCTGATGGATTAGAACAGCATGAGGGTGAGAAATTTATGTTTTATTTTTTGGGGTGAACTGTCCCTTTAATGGCAGGGTTTCTGAGCAGCATTCAGAATTAAAATTTGGTCAGTTTTAACTTCCCCACAGGCAAATTGCCTTGTTTTTGCTTTCATGTCTCCTCTGTTATCTAATTAATATCTTTATGTATTCCTCTTTTTTTTCTTGGTCAGGTATTATCATCACTTGTACACATACTACCTGCCGACGTCTCTGCTGTCAACGGTGGACCAGTTGGCCAACTGTGAGGACATCCTAATGAATTTCCTCATCTCCGCAGTAACCAAACTCTCGCCAATCAAAGTCACACAGAAAAAACAGTACAAGGAGACCATGATGCAGCAGGTATGAGTCTGTGTGTGTATGGGTTGTAAATAGACGAGTGTGTATCCAGAGTGATTCCCTGTTGGGGTCAGAAATGTCTGTGTGGTGTGTGATGGATGGAGGGCCCCAGGGCTGTGAGTGTGTGTGGATCTGATTCAGCAGTATTGGCCTGTTTGATGAATGTCTTCATGGTAAGGCGAGATTAATGATTGACAGCAAGGTTGCAGTACTATCCTTCTCTCTGTCTGTCTCAATTCTCTTTTGGTACATTCTAACTTTATTTCCAATAGTATCTCATCTGTATAAGTCTAATGGATGCTGATTAGTGAGTAATAAGAGTGGGAATCATAAGGAATCATATATTATTATATTATATTATAGCTGGGACATGATATGATAATGATCTGATAACTATAATAATATCATAGTTCTTTAGGTTTAAAGTTATTCAAAACATATTCTGATCTTTTACTCAGTTGTTTCTTATTCATTTACTTCAAGCAATTATATTATTCTTCCATTTTGAAAACAAAGAAACAACTGACCTAATGCTACATTGTTTTTTTCTTCCAAAGTATTCATATAAAAATGTAACTAAAAATATAGACTCTTGACATGAGATTATTAATACAGTGTTGAGAAAAAGTAATTATTTAATATATTGATTTCCCCCCCACCTTTGCTTACTTCCAGCAATGCTAAAATATCAGGAGTTTGCAAATGGCAAATAATAATAATAATAATAATGGCTTTATACAGTATTGTACAATATTGCTTAAGTAATAACCCTAGTAACTTTACATTTTCAGTAGTTTGACAGCAGTTTAACCAATGTAGCTTTTTCAGTAACAAGCTACCTTTTCCAACAAGGAGAACTACAAAACATAACTACATATTTTTTGTCACATTATTAAATTTAACGTTGTCAGCCATTCATTACTGAATCTGTTTTGTGGCAGAAATGTACTGCTCTGATTTAAAAAAATAAGCTGTTACCCCCTTAAATACTGTAGGTACAATGTAGTTAGCTACTTTTTGTTATTAGCTTGTAGCATAGGCTAGCTCACTAGTTTTTTAAATATACATCTTCACAGTAGTTTAATTATGTTTAAGTATTTACAGAAGTTTAAGAAGATACCGTTTCAAAGTATTAAAAATGTTAAGTATAGTTGAACAGTACCGGTCATGTATACAGTTTTACTCTATATTTCCTTATAATTTAGTACTTTCTGTGAAATTTCTCATCTTTAATAGCCTTATCAAAACACGGATTTTTGTCTATGGATTTTGTCTTTTTTTAAACATTATTGCTTATCACTTTTTTTGAGAGATTCATTCAACAGTAACATTCCCATAATGGCTGCAAAATTATAAAATTGAACATTCCCTTAATGTTTTTCTCTAATGTTCACCTAACCAAGAAAATTAAACATTTTTGAAACATTTAAAAAAACTGAATGTTTTGTATGTTCTGAGATTATTCAGAAATAACATTTTCATACCTTAATTGGGAACGTTAGCAAAATGTTCTTAGAACATATTTTTGTTTGCTGGGTAGAAGCTAAATTAGCTGAGACTGTAATTGACCCTTCGCCGGGAGTTTGATTGACAGGCGATCTGACTAATCATAACGCTGAATCTGTCATTTTGTCTGACAAACAAACCACACAGGAGAGTGGATTAATGTCGAAATGATGAAAAATGGCATTTATTGACATCTTTCCGTGGTTGAAACAAGATACCCTCTGATGTTCATTCATGTTTATTTTGCACTATAACTAGTAAAGAGGATGAGATGATTGGTTCATGAACAGCAATCTGTCATGCCTCATTAAAGAGCCTCAAAACGTTATTTAAAACAGAAAGCTGACCCTTTTTTCATACCAAAAGTAAGCTGCTCTGTCTTGTCTGTTGGTGCGTTGCTCCGCAAAAATTTTTTTCACTGCATGAGAACATGATGTGTGTTGTGAGAGCAACATGGCTTGTCAGACGTACCAACAGTAATGAAAGGGGGCAGGTCTTTGCGAAGGGTCAATTAGCTGATTAGAATCTCAGATTGGTCACATTTTGCTGTGTGATTTCTCAATTTCTCTAAAATTCTGTAATGAAAAAGAATCCATGAATGTTACAAAATGTCTTTCTGTGTTCCTCTGCATGTCCAAGGGATTGGTCTGTATTAGCACATTGTAAGCTTCTTTAACAAGCAGCTAGACATCTTTCCACAGCGTTTCTCATAAATGTAAGGCCATAACTGTCGTCTGTTCTCTGAGTCGTGAAATGAACACTCCGTGTTCGCTCTGTTTGTCAGTGTCTTCTAAAGTGCTGCCCAATTCCAGAAACATGCTCCTGCTTTCGTTCATAATCTGCCTGGTGAACCATACACAGACCTCTCTCTCTCTCCCTCTCTCTCTCTCTCTCTCAGGGCTCTAAGGCGTCTCGATGGGCCGACCCAGACCACTTTGCACAGCGTCAGTCCTGCATGAACTCTTTCACGAGCTGGTTCGGCTTCATGCCTCTCCTTCACTCTCAGTTGCGTCTGGATCCCGTCCTCTTCAAAGACCAGGTCTCTATCCTACGCAAGAAATACAGAGACATTGAGAGGTTGTGAGGGGCGAATCCCTCCCAAACTCCGCTGAACTCATCCGGACATCCCCTAACAGACCTGCAGTGTTCAGTTCACCTGGACTCATTAGAGACCAGATACAAATACAATATATTCCATCTACAGAATAAATGATAACAAAATATGCAACATTGAATGATTTTATCTGCGGCCGAAGATTTCGTGGCAAGCATTTGCTCAGAATAGGGCCGGCTCCTTGCGTGTTTGAATTTGTTGTTGTCGTCGGTGTTGTTGTCTGCGAGGGCCGTAGCCGCTGCACATTTATGAACAAGAGGCAAAAGAGGCGTGTGAATGGATGAAAACAGCTCAACGAGTCACCTATGCCTGCAATATGTATTTTAATTTCAATTATTTTTTGTTAAGAAATTCTTTTTTTTTTAAAGACGTTTAAAAAAATAAAATCTATGAATGCAAAGTGGGTTTGCACCCTAAATATTCATTTTTGTATCATTTCATTGTGTGTGTGTCCTTTAATACACCATTTGTTCCCTTCACAACAGATTTTGAGAAAATCAGCCGTCAGTTTCTGCAGTTCAGATTTAAAAGCTAGCATAGAGCTGTTTAATAATTTGTGAGCATGGTGTGAATTATGGGGGACGGGGTGTTAATTAAGGTTTGAAGCCCCTTAAAGTTAAAACTAAAGGTTGTCTTTCAAATTCATAATCTTTTTACAAATACGTTGACACCTGACAAGATGTGTTGTGTTGCACATCTGAGAGATGCAACCCACATTAGAAGCTAGCGGATCAGTTCACACATTTTGTGTGCATGTTTTTTATGTTTGTATCTTGTCGTACATGCAAGTCATAGGCTGTTTACCCTTATGTAGTGCACTATTTGAGGAGAAAATCATAGGCCTATGGTTATGAAAAGACCTATTTGTGCACTTACAGTACTTCCTTTTATGTACTTTTATGCTCAAAAGTGTGGGTATTGGGACTTGCCCCATTTGTAGTGGTGTAGTGCTCGATCCCATAATGCACTGCAATAATGAGTTGTACATTCTATGCACTTTCCACACTTCTGCTGTTTTGCTCAGGTCAAGCATTTAAAGGGATATTTCACCCAAAAACGAAAGGTACCCCATGAATTAATCACCCTCAAGACATCCTAGGTCTATATGACTTGTATCTGTCTTTACAAATCCTCATTTTGTACTTCTAATTAATTAGTGACTGGTGTTTTTGTTTTACTCTCTCCACTGCGTTTCTGCATTCGTCATTTCTCACCGGATCTTATGCTACGTCTACGCCATCCGCTGGAGCGCCACTCTCTCGTGAATGATCGTACAACAGTTAGAGGAAGCTAGAGTTTACGGTTTATAAAGTTTTAAATGTGGATATTTTTCTTACACAAATGCTTCGCTTCAGGCCTTTATTAACCACCCGGAGTCGTGTGGGGCACTTTTTATGATGGATGGATGTACTTTTTTGGACTTCAAAATCTCAATCACCATTCACTGCCATTATAAAGCTTGGAAGAGACAGGACATTTTTTAATATAACTAAAGTAGCATTCATCTTAAAGAAGAAAGTCATATACACCTAGGATGATTAGAGGGTACACTCTTAAAAATAACGGTGCTTCAAAAGGTTCTTCAAGCGATTGCATAGAAGAACCATTTTTGGGTCCACAAAGAACCATTCAATCAAAGGTTCTTTAAAGAACCATCTCTTTCTTACCTTTTTGTAATCTGAAGAACCTTCTTTTGCCACAAAGAACCTTTTGTGAAACAGAAAGGTTCTTCAGATGTTAAAGGTTCTTTATGGAACCATTTAGACAAAAAGGTTCTTCTATGGCATCGTGAAGCACCTTTATTTTTAAGAGTGTAAGTAAATCATGGGGTAATTTTCATTTTTGTGTGAACTATGGGGCAACCCAAAATTAATTCCTTCATCTTGCCAAAAGATTGCATCCACAGCCAAATCATTGACTTACATTTAATTTACTATTAAATAGTGTAATTATGATAATTACAATTTAGTGCTTTGTTTCGCTCAGTCCTAAATTAATGCTTGCAAACATAAATGTACCTATGTAAAATACAGTAGTAACAATTTGCTAGTATCAATATCATACAGTAGGTGTAGTGGGCAGAATATGCAAGCACCGTCATTTTTACAATTTACGTTACGCAAATATATGACAGAAAACTAGATAAATTAATAAAAACTATATTGACATTAGGCCATATTGCCACTCCACATGTAGACTGTGGAAGTTGGAAACTGATTGTGAATCCCAAATGGATTTAATAAGAATCTACAATCGTAACAATAGCTGTAGAGAACATTTTTATTTTTGTAAGAGAATCCATATGTGACCCTGGAGCACAAAACCAGTCTTAAGTCGCTGGGGTATATTTGTAGCAATAGCCAAAAATACATTGTATGGGTCAAAATTATTGATTTTTCTTTTATGCCAAAAATTATTAGTATATTAAGTAAAGATCATGTTTCATGAAGATATTTTGTAAATGTCCTACTTTAAATATATTCAAATTTAATTTTTTATCAGTAATATGCATTGCTAAGAACTTCATTTGGACAACTTTAAAGGCGATTTTCTCAATATTTTGATTTTTTTGCACTCTCAGATTTCAGATTTTCAGATGACGTATAGATCTAAATTTTGAAAAATTGACCCTTATGACTGGTTTTGTGGCCCAGGGTCACATATTTGATCCATATAGAATCCATTTTGGCATGTTCCTATATTATTTATATTCATGTTTAGGCTACACTGTCAAAACAAGTTCTTGCTTACAAGAAGTCTGAACTTCATCCAGTCACAGCTCATGTCTTCTGAATTAATGCGGACGTGATACTGGATCTGACCTTTCCACGTCATCCCAAACCATCTGTATATCAGCATATTAGCATATGTTAGCAAGGCTGATGTAACTCACACACTCTCTCTTGAAGTTTTTGTCTCACAGGTGATGTCTTTATTAGCGTTGCAGCGATATGTGTGTATGTATTGACAGGCTTTGATATCTGTCTGAAGTTTAAACCCTTTCATCTTTATGACAAACAGACAGAACAAAAAAAGAACGGCAATAGGTGGAGATCTGCCCTTTCACGGTACCTCCTTTCCAGCTCGCTCTCTCTCTCTCTCGTTAGTCTGTGTTCTCTTCTCGTTCACCTCTTCCTGTCGGCTCTCATCAGGATGATGTCTTCACTCCACAACCACAGAGACTGCAGAAATTATGCTTCTCTCACTGTTGAACACTGCGTAGATTTCACAAGGCTAAACATAACTGGTCCAACACGCTCCCTGCCTCTCCAAGTCTTAGGGGCTATTCACACTGAACACATTTTTGAGTTTAAAAACATGAGATGAAGGGCAGTGGAATTTAAAAATTATTTAAAAATGTAAAATATGTATATTTTTAAATTAACAAGTTCATCTTTTAACTCGAACACTGTTGAGACACAAGAGCAATGGAAAAACGTCTACAGTCGAATGCAAAAACGTGTTCGCATGATAAAACTCTGAATTCATTCCTTTTAAAGTCTGCTACTGTAGCCATCAAAACTCTACTTCTCTAACATATACACCACCTTCAACAATGCTTTTCGAAACAATTACTGTCTATCCTCAAACCACCTGCTGTGAGCAACATTTATAATATGCATAGTCTGTAGATCTCTATTTTTGTGAGAACTATAATAGTTGAGTTTTCGAGATATGTAGCCTATTTGGTGTTATATACAGTATCTGTCAGAACCTAGAACTTTTATTGTTTTGGAAGGTTTGAAACAAACAAGATGCCTGCAGATATAACTTCTGTTAGCAATGATCATTGGACAAGCATCATTTAATGTACTGTATTAACATGCAAGAATTCATTAAAATATGTAGCAACACTCTACAATAAGTCTCATTAGTTAATCTTAGTTAATGCATTAGCTAGCATAAATACCAATACATTTGTTGCAGTATTTATTAATCTTAATTTATTAGTTAATAAAACTGCAACTATTCATTGTTAGTTCATGTTAGCTCAGGTCCATTACATAATATTAACATATGCAACTTTTTAATTTTATGTAATGTTTTACCAAAAAAAAAAATATTTGTAATATATAGTTCTGGTTTTCAAATTTGACTGTCCGAGCGGAGATCCAGATGGGCTGTCTGGATTTTTTAGTGACTCTGCATATTGTTATGCCAGAAGGTGAGAACAAATGACTTTGTCTTTATGAGTGAGTCACTGAATCATTCACTCAACCAATTCCTTCAAAAATGCTGATTCTGACTTGATTTTGTGTGGGCTTTGTCTGGAATTTTTATTTTGCTGATGAAGTAAAAATAGTCAAAATAACTGGTAGTATTTTGTCTACAATCTAAGTTACTCATTCATCTCTTTACTGTATTGTTGACTATAAAGAAATATCACACTTGCCATTATGCTGCTGTTCTCAATTTCAGCATACTTGCTCATGTGACACTAATTAAGTTATGCATATTAATATATTATAATGTACTGCTCAAAGCCAAAATGTGAGGCTATGAAACTGATAAACACTAATCCCTTTACCTCAGTTTTTGATGCAACTTCCATTTCCTCTCTTTAGCAGACACTTGTATTTCCTGGCAGTGGCATCCCAGAAACTTCCTCTTGCTGAATGACTTCTGACTGACAGGTGCTATCAGGGATAGAGGGGATGAAGGGTGTGTGTATGTGTGTGTGGCCTGTCCCTAAATGGAAAACAGGCAGCTGTCAGAAAAGTGAAAAGTCAATAACTACAGACATCAGAGAGCCCATCTCTGGGCGTGCATGTGTGTGACATCTCTCCCCTGCGCAATCCACACAGGACTGCACATCAAAATCAGTTCAGTTCTCCACACATCAAACAGTGCAGCATATACTTACACACCTCCAGAGAACCTGCCGCTGCAGTTCAGTTTACTCCAGTGTCTCTCTCTCTCTCTCCCTCGACAAACACCTGTTCAGACGGCCGCAGCATCTCTGGAGACTCTAATCCGCTTCCCCGCTCCTCTCTTCCTTTCACCCTCCATCCATATCTCTCTGGCTTTCTTTCTCTGCCTGCTTTCAGTTCAGTGGAATTACATTTGACTCAATTCAATTGAGTTCAGCTCCATCAAAGGATGTTTTTGGCAGGATCAGTTTGTTCTCTTTTCAGTAGCGGGCATCATAAAGCCTATTCCTCTCTCTCTTTCCTTCCCCAGGGTCTCATTCCCTGTATCACTGTAGTATTTGCCCACCGGTGTATATATGTGGAAACCTAATAACAGAGTGTTATAAAATGCTGTGTCATAAAGTGTATAATGCTCCAGGGCTTTTGACCCCTCTGTGCCATATAATAATGATAATAATCACTAGA